CCGTCACCATCTCAATCCTGGGTCGGGAAGCCTTTGGCTCTGAACTCTGGTCACCTTCCATGTGAACAGAATTCGAGCGCTGATCGTGGGGACACGGGCCAGCGCACTGTGGGCTGAGGTAGGAACTATTCACGGATCTGACTTGCTCGGAGACCAAAGCGCGCACACTCGGACCAAACCTGCTTGCCTATTCTCGCTACTTAACAACGGAAGCATGGTGACAATGGGTCCCCTCCGGTGGGGCTGTGGAGTTCATTCACGCTAATTTGGCATGTATGAATGTTAGGCAGTAAGTCGTTCACATCGAGTTCAGCCTTCAAAGTTAGGCTCAGGTCCAACCCGGTTGGACCAAACCTGCTTGCCCATTCTCGCTACTTAACAACGGAAGCTTGGTGGCAATCGGTCCCCAATCTTAGGGCTATTCATCCCTTCGGTAGGGCAAGCTATGAATGCTGGGCAGTAAGTCGTCCGCATCGCATTCAGCGTTCAAAGTTAGGCTCAGGTCCAACCCGGTTGCTTAGTTATTATTCAGTCTCTCCGGTTATTTCTATGCAGCACTTGACACTAGGAAGGAAGGACGAGGGATGAGGATTGGACTCTCCACGCGAATTTGTCAGCTGTGGTCATAGCGGCGCAGTCGTCAGTCATCCGACCAACAGGTTCCCGCGTAAAAAGATGGTTAAAGTAAGTGGGACATGTCATAAAGAGCAAGCCAATGACCACCAGCAACATCGAGGCCAGACTGCAGAGAAACCCGGTTTCGACCGGGTATTGTATGGCCAAGGGGCCCAAGGTTGGAGAGCTTGCTATCCACAACGTCATCAAGACGAAGAATGGGACCCGACCTATAACCGGGGTGTTTTTGCTCACTGATCATCTTAGAGGTATCAGGCTGGAAAAAAGAGAACCTGACGGATTTCCGGGAGAAAGAGTCCGTCGTCCTCGTTGTGGACGAGAAGTCCTCTAACATCGATTTTATTTGTGACAGTAAGCCTAGCCGGTGCGCCACAAGAACTGAGCGTCCAGCCTGACTGGTGATTTTCGTGCTCGTGGGACCGGAGGGAAGCCAGGTCAGATTTTGCAGTCGCGCATCTCCGCTTAGGTCGAGTAGCGTCCTCGGACCCGTCGGAGATTATATCCAGAATGGAACCGCCAGTATACATCCATGGCAATTAAAAAATGATCATTAAAGAACCTAAACTTCAGTCCCCAACTGCCACGGATAGGTACATAAATTCACTAAGTTTAGCCTCGATTGGTACTACTGGAGTCCCTTTCTGAACGGTTATATTTCAAAAGGTAAAACACCAAAAGATACATATTTATAGGTCGCTAGGATATTAAAATTTGTGGCTTAACCCTGGGCGATAATTGGTCGAAATTTAGCACTTTCTGTCTGTAAATTAAGCACTAATTCATGCTGCTAAGATCACAGTCCTGTACATTCTCAACTTGTGTTCATGTAAACTTCCCAGGAATTTTGCACAGCGAATTAGAACCCACCGAAATTGGGACTGCCTTTGGACTTGTGGGCTGCGATTTCGTCGTTGATTTTGATGCATACTAGGATGCTGCCACTCGCAACAGGGAAGAATTTATCGCAGCGGTGAAGTACTTGTCGTCGAAGTTGAGCGGAAATGGGGTGTACCTACTAGAGAGTATCAGTTGACGCATGTAACCTGTCCTTTCCGTGTTCGTGTCGAATCAAAAAGTGACATTTGGAAGCGAGGGGATCGGGACTTCACTACATACCCTGGCATGGTGCTGAATACACAACCGTCAGCTGAGAGGAGACCGTGTGTTGTGCTTCTGGAGGTCTCTGGACATCCCATATTTGACGGATATTTATTATTTCCAGGGAAGATGACATTGAGGCAAATACTCAACTCGGCTACGTTTATTCGTTGCCTCGAAGGTCACCCTTATCTGTGGTGCGTACCACCATCCCTCTACACAGTTGCATAACCGTCATCGTGAATCATTCACTACATCCGAATTTCAGACCCTGTCTCCCTGAGTGATGTCAAAGGTCTTTGTGAGATCCGTGTGAGTTGTGTGAATGGGCTGGTTTTCATTTGCCGAGATGTCACGCTGCGAAGATCGTGTCAGCTTCTCCAGGGTTCTTCTGGAATCCGCTTTTGGTTGGTAGAAAGGAATCCTTCCTCCTGGTATGCAGTCAGCGGCGATCGAGGAGAATGCAATGGAACATGTTGCCGAGAGTGACGAAATGGTCGCTGTCGCTGATTTGCCTGTTGCCTCTTCGTTTGTAGAGGTGGGAAATAGCGACAATGTCGGGGTGCGGAGGTCGACAACACGAAGTTCAGTTCAGTTTATTGAAGGAAATAGGCGTAAGCCTTTGAGTACGCTATTTGCAACGTAAAAATGTGTGGTATACAGAAAAATGTTCTGGGCTGAAATAGTTTAAACGAGCCCATAATGGTAGGACAACATGGGAACGAGTTACAGGGGGTGAGCTCGACTTCTCATCGCCCTTGTTCATTTCGAAACATAAATATGTCAAGACTCTTTTCAAGCTTTGTATTGATGGTGACATCACAATGTCTGCGGGCAGGGCATTCCATGGTTTGACCACTCGAACAGAGAAGGAGAACTTCCGCACATGCAGCCTTGCCTGCTGAGTTCGCAGTTTCAACGGGTGACCTCGGAGTTTGGTCGTGGTAGCAAATTCAAAAAGTCTTTGAAGGCTAGGCTGCAATCCAACCCCTTTACAATGCGGAATGCTTGCAAGTGATCCCCGCGAAGTTGTCTGTAACTCAAGGGGAAGAGGTTCAGATTTACTAGGCGGGTTGCGTAAGGAAAGGAGCTTTGACCCCTAACCATCTTCGTGGCTGTCCTCTGAACCCTTTCGAGGCAGTTTTGATCCTGAACCACCCACAGTCTCCAGGCTTGTATCCCGTACTCCAAAGTTTCCCGAACCAAAAGGCAGGAAGAGTAAGTTGGACAGTGTTTACTGTAGCAAAAGGACGTAAAAGACTCGGCAGGCGGGGACATCAAGTGCTCTCACCAGCTGAGTGTCAGCCGTTGAGATTGTTAACCGGCGCGGAGTGCGCTCGTGCGTGCCTCTAGGCTTTGTCCACCTGTGGCCAATCAGCGAGGGGTGCAACGTCGACAGACGTCAAGCTCTCGCCACGCGCGACTCCAAGCAGTCGATTGATCGGGGACTTTTGAGCGGACAGCATGGATTAGGCGGTCGCGCTTGCGATCACGGAAGCAGACTGCCATCTCCCTTGAAGTCCTTGTCTCCATATCTCCTGCAGCAAGGCGGGTGCTTCGTCCAGAACTCGAAGACCGCCGCATTTGTGGGCCTTCACTGGAACCAGATTAATGCTCGGGTTCTACCGCTGGGCATCTGTTGCACGACCCCGACTGTCCTTTGCAGTGAGCGCGAAAGATCAAATTCACTAACAACAGGGTAGCCTCGTCCGGGCTGAGCAGTGACGTAGTTGTGATGGGTTGGCGGTCGTGGAGTACCTAAATGACAACGAGAAAGGTCTCTATCCACTACAACTGTGCATTCTTGGATATGCTCTGCTCGTGATCAGGTTACTGATCCTGCATTGTCACAGCCTTCGCCACAGTCGGTGCTTGCTTTGGAAAGTCCAGCCTTATTTACAGTGGTACAGCTGTCCGCGCAGGTCCTATGAAGTTGGTCCTTGTAGAAGTAACAACAGACGTTGGTCTTCTTCATCATTTATGTCTGCCTCCAGGTGAGAGGGTTGCCGCGGCAGCGATGCAGATAGCCTCCTTCAGCCTCGTCTATTTGTTCTCGAGGCCCTCACCTACCAGGAAATGCAATTGCTCTAGATTGGCGTTCCCTTTGCCTGCGTTCGGCAGGACCACTAAGCTGCAGAGTTCAGTTTCCTCATCACTGCCCTCCCCTGGGGGCCACCTCTGGGTTAGCAGCCTCACTTACGGAACAGCTAGACAGAGGTCTGACCATTTTTCTTACCACTGACACGTCACATTAACCTCGCCTTCTGGCGAAAGCAGCATGACTTTGACCATCGCATGCGACAATGTCCGCCGTGTGTCCCACAGCATGGTGGGCCTAGGACGGTGACTTGCACGTGGAATACTTTATGGCGACGGCGGACATGCGTAAAGCCTGCCGCACTACCACCACCCACCCCCCATTCCCTCACCCGCCTGCCTTCGATGGCAAAACACGGTCAGGACGACCGGAGGCGGGTCCAGACGCAGTGACTGACAAAGTTAAACGGCTCGACTGCGCGTGTCACACACGATCCGGTCTCCGCGCTATGCAGTGGGGTTCCCCAGAAACAAGGGGACGGTCCGGACCCCATCTGAGTGGGAGTTCCATGGAGGCAACACTAGGAAGGAGCCATTTAGTCTTATTCTCCGTTCACCAGTCAACCGCTCCCCACATGCACCAGTTGGTCGTACGGGCCTGCTGCATCGTATCCTGCCCGGGCCGTCAGGACATCATGCCAGAAACGCGTGACAAGCGAACGATCAAGGTCTTGACCCCCGTTCACACCTTTGTGCTGACTGGCCACCCATCAGCCTATGACAGTCCCCTTTGCCATATACCCGGCCGTTCCCACAAGCCTCCTCACCTGTGCTGTCTATCGTACTCACTGCACGTCCTATTTCCAATTAACCTTCTGTTCTGCATACATAACATTGGCGACGCAGCCTACCGAACATGTCTTCATTGCTGCCCACACCGTTACCTTTCTGGCCAAAGAACACCCAGAAACCCTCAAATGACTCAGGGTTGCAATGGAAGAAGACATTTGAGGATTATATTGAACTACTCCCGATTTTGTCACCCATGATTGTACTAGACGTCCCATCTAAGTTGGAACTCCCCGAACGAATCTCGGAGAGTTGGGACAACGATATTTCGATACCCTCAATCTACAAAATCTATAGATCTCCAAACAGCCTTCATAAAACTCAAGTTAGCGTGGGGAGGAAAAGACAACGTCTTTCTCAGTCACTATCGATTTTGTCAAATGCGTCAAGAATCCAATCGATGTGTCTGCGATTTTATTACTAATCTGTCTCTGGCCATCCAGGACTGTGGGTATAAAGAGATCGAGGCAGACAACTTCGAGCACGCAATGCCCGTTCAGCAGTTGATCGTCGGTCTGCGCGATGAAAAAGCTCGGGAAAATCTCTTATCAGAGAAGAAGGATTTGTCATGGGAGAAAGCCTGTGATATTGCCAGTCATCGGGAGCGTGTGCGGCAAAACCTTCAGCAGCTGAATCAGTCAAACGATGGAGTGATAGCATCCTTGGCATCTGAAATGGCTGGCTCCCTGGTCAACACTGCCGCGTCTTCACCTAGACAGCCACCATCAGCTCCCTCAAAATAACTACCATCCTGCTACCGTTGTGGTCAGCAGCATATCCGGTGGTCAGACTGTGTACACCAGAAGACGGTTTGCCAGTTTTGCGAGAAAATCCGGCCACATCGAACGAGTGTGTTTCTCCAAAAGATGAGCGATCACCGACACGCATGCGACCTACCCTAGTCCAGCTGGGGATGGTGAGACGATACTCCGAATGTTTTCGGCCAACGCGCTACTATAATCGCCCTACACCATCACGCTTCCGGTTGATCACCATCCCGTGAAGTTTGAAATCGACACTGTCTCAGTTGTTACTCTCATTAATGAGGCCTCTCTTTAGAAATTACCTCCCTCCTTTCGGCTAGCTCAACATTCCGTAGTTACACTGGACAGAACGTAGAAGTTCGAGGGGTCTTTTCAGCCGAAGTCGAGCATGATGGAGAACTTCATTACTTGCCGGTTCATGTGGTGAGAGGAAGCCAGCAACCAAATCTCCTTGGACGAAATTGGATTAAATGTGTGCCTTCTGTGCTATCCTATGTACATCGGATCGGTGTAAATCCGGCTTTAGATTCAATTTTGGTAAATCATAAGGATCTATTTCGTGACGATTCTGCTACGCACTACCGCGGTCCACCTGTTAAGTTTCAGTTTCAGTCAGATTTCCGGCCCCGGTTTTTCAAAGCTCGTACAGTCCCCTATGCAGTCGCACCGAAGTTCGAAGAAGAGCTGGATAGCTTACAGAAAGCGGATGACACCTGCCAGTCATTTAGTGCTTGGATTAGATGCAAGTGACTGACAGAGCTCCATTGTCTGTCTCTGAATGTCACAAACGAACATACCATAATCTCCCCAGATTTTCAGTACTAAAACTGGCCGAACGCACTCAGACGGCTAACCGGCTGTGTGTATTTTTACTCTGCATTCTGCAGAAGCACAATGAGCGAAGGAAGATTCTCAGAAAACGCGTCAGAGCGTAAGCACTAATGCTAGTAGCGAGTTTCTTACCTACGTCATGTGCACCTGGGAACCACTGTTTTTTTTTCAGTTGGGTCACAACGAAGACACATTTTGCGATCTCATCGTGGTCAGGAATGCACCTGAACATCCTTTGTTCAGTCCCCACGGACGATCGCTGATTGTAAACACAATTTTAATCAACCAAAACGTCCACTGTTTACGGCTGGCTCTCATTGCCTCTCCGTCGGTCACTGCCGTCGTAAAACAAAGGCGACATAATCGAGGTCGCATTTCAACTTGTGTAAATATACCTACAATTATGTGCAAAGTGCAATACTTGGCGGTGGTTTCTCTACATGTGTCAGTCACTCCAGTGTAGTCGGCGTCGTGCTTTGTATGAAGAATAGTCCGAGGGTTCTGGTGTGTTTCCTCTGAGGAAATTGAGAATAAAAGACAATCGTCGGGGTGCTCATTTTGTGGGCAGCCGCTCAGGAACCGGTTAACTCAGTCTAGACTGTGGTAGGGGGCGCTCACCGATCCTTCTTACGGAACTCACTCGTTCCGTTGTGCCTTATGGGCTCTCTCTCTCGAGCCCAACCATCAGCCACACAGCGGCGCATGAGTAGCACTACCGTCAAAGACAAGGGAGACTGAAATGGCCATCTCTGACTTATTAGCCGTCGTCAGCCAGTCATACCCAATCCCGAAGTGTGGCACACCCGAGGCTCGAACTCGCGACCTGTCGGTTAGAAGTCCACGCCTGAGCCACCAGCCCGTTGCCCTGTCGATTTCGATCGAGAATATACAATAGTAGGGGGTGCTGACCGATCGTTGTTACGGAACTCACTCGTGTGTTCCACACTTCGGGTTTGGGTATGACTGGCTGACGACGGCTAATAAGCCAGAAATGTCCTTTCCGGCCTCCCTTGTCTTTGTCGGTAATGCCATACCGCCTATATCATGCGCCGCTGTGTGGCTGCTGGTTCGGCTCTAGAGAGAGTCTGTAAGGCACAACGGAGGCAGCCTACATATGGCGGGAGAAACCCGACCTATGTAAACAGTCAGACCACGTGGTCAACCTCAGCTTGCCCTGGTAGACCTGAGCTCCTTTTGATTTACGAAATCCCTCGTAGTGTTAACTTCCTCCTTTTCTTTCCTACGTTGCGGTTTGAAGTTACCATTTTATTGATTAGTCTACGTGCAGTATACGATGACCTTGTTGTTTTACATTGATTTTCTCTGTCGCAGTTCAAACCTCTGTATCTTTCTCACTTGTTATCTCTGTTGTGCAACGACAGGCTGCAGTTGATAAACCGTCGCGAAATTTACTGGTTATAATAAATTCTGCTGTCCATGCCTGCTTTAAATTCATTTGGGGGGAAATATTGCTTCAAGTCTCTTGTCTTTGTCGGTAATACCATTCTGTCAAGTCTAGACTGATGACAAATTTACCCATGACATATGCGACCACTCACTGTCAGGGGTTAGGGGGCCCTCTGTCTAATCAGCGTTATAGCCGTTGCCACTACGTGCATCCCTGTGGTTCATTGCCGCTCAGTTCAGGGCACATGATACCTAATAGCGGTGTGAGTTACCACTCAAGGACTGCGATCCAAATTCTGCAGCACAAATTGGCGCTCGTGCATCCTCATTGGGCAGTTACTCAGGAACCGGTTAAATCAGTCTAGACCGACTACAGTGTTAAACATAATTCTGAAGTAGCAGTTCGCCGCCGAGAGCGACGACTCAGGGAGTGGGTGCAGCACTGGTGACCTTCATATACAGTAGTTTCTACTGAGGTGGACTTGTGAAGCACCTATTGCACTATCTCTCTTCCCTCATCCACGAGGCTCCGATGACAGGACAATGTTAAGAAGACCAGGGTTGGGCGTGGGTGCAGCGTCTGACAAATGTAAACAACCGGACTGCGCCTGTCGCACGAGGTTCTCACACACGGGGGCCTTGCATCCCACGTTTGTGAGAGCGTCATATAGTGTGTGTGTGTGTGTGTGTGTGTGTGTGTGTGTGTGTGTGTGTGTGTGTGTGTGGCCGACGTGACCCCCCAAGCGGTTTACGTGTTAGATGTGCTAGTCCAACACGGGGACCACATCGGATTCTGGCAGGCGTTATCGGGTTGCGCAATAACAAATGCGGACATGTAAGGGGTGCGCTGGCAGTCCCAGTTGTGCGACGACTGTCGACAACAGGGATCACTGCCACACTCTGCATTGTTGTGGCGGTCAAAATCCTGGTCATTTGTTGTGTGGTGCGGAGTGGAGCGCCAAGGCGAGTATCCGTCCAAGCCATCCACCTGCGGCCTCCCTCGTCTCCGGTCTTCTTGACTCTGTCTTGACACCGGGTTCAGGCGGGGGAGGAGGAGAGAGTGTGGTAGATGCAGCGCAAGTCTACTGGCACTATAAACTCCTCCACAAGTCACCGTCCCTGCTCCCACCATCTGTTGTGGGGCATACGGTCGACATCGTCGGATGCGACGGTCAAACTATCGTGTGGCCGACGAATCTCAAAAGACAATTCGTACCGAACGAAAAAAATACTCGACTGTATTGATGAATTCGTACTTTGGGAACGTCACACCGGATTACGTGTCCGGCAAGTCCTGTCGCTTGTAATCACCCCAAAAGTGATTTGATGCACTTTTCTGGAACATACTCCAAGTGTTGAAGATATGGTGGGTTTACACGGTGTGGCGACAGCAATCCAACTTCCATTGAAAGTTGCTTGCCTGAATAGCGTGTGACTCAGCCTTCGGCTCGCCGACGGCGTGACACCGGTCGACATTTTGTCTTCAATGATTGGCCGCACAACCGAAGATGGCTCCGGCGCACGCTTATGTATCTCACTTGCGGACACCACATCAACGGCTGAGTCTGAATTTTTTCGGACAGTTGCCGTCGCTGCCTTTTGAGCTGATTATACTTTCGGCCACAACAACGGTCGCCTTGAGGTAAGACACGGGCATCGGAGCTGTCCAATCATGTCCTCCTGGCCACTTTTACCCACGTGGGAACCAACCAGGTGCAAGGCGCGTCGGAGGTGAAGTAGACTGTTCGAGGTCATTGGCTCAGATAGAAGATGGCAGTTTAAAAATTACTTGAGTCTGGAAGGAAAACGCTTTGGGCTTATTCGGTGGGGCAACTCGCGGCAACGATCGGTTGCGTAACTCCACCTCGAAACCAGTAACCCCAGGTCAGTGTAGTACGGGAATGGTAGTCATAGGAGTTTTCTGGGTGGGCCATCACCGCGGAGGGCAAACGAAATAAATGCAGTAAAACACAAAAGTAAATATATTTTCATTTAAATTATTCTTCAACGTCCAGATATAACAACAGAAATGAGCTTGATCGAGAAAATACACAAGAAACGACTCTCAATGAATAAAAGGTATTTGAATAAACCGCCACTGGCAAACTTGGAACAGGCCAGGAACCAATAGGACGAAAAGTCGATAGGAAAGAATGACAGCAAGTGCCAAATAGTGCAACTGTGGCAGTGTATCGCGGGATAACGCTATGCACGTGAATTTTAGACGAACGCGAAAAATGTCAAATAAAGCAAATAAAATCGTATCTTCGTATCTGCATAATGAGGCAACTGAGCAATGTTATATGAAAAATGCAAGAAAGATAAAAGTATGTATGTAAAAGTTATGTACAATAACGAATTCCATTAATGAACAAAGTAATAATGCATAGATGTTTTGGCAAATTTTGAATAATTCATATTGACCCAACTGTGAAAAACCCGGCGCCTCGGCGGGATTCGAACCCACGCAGTAAGGGGAAGGCTTTAGTACAGTCAACGCTCTAACCACTTGAGCTACGAGGCCCGAGTTTTTTACAGTTGGGTCAGTATGAATTATTCAGAATCTGCCAAAACATCAATTAATTACGTGAGCCTGGTAGTCATCTGGTGGATTCTAGGTGAATTACTTAGGAAATCCTGCTTGGGTAGTCAACTTACTGTTTCAGATTTGGTGGATTCCAGACGTTGCAGTAGGTTGGGCGGGTAACTTGATCCAAATGTGATTAAACTCGTGTCGTCCG